GTCTTGTGATCATCTTGAAACAGCCGCAAAAAGGAAGTTAAGTAAATGTTCAATGTAAATCATATTGAAACAGCAGCACGAAGGAAGTTAAGTAAACGTTTACTGTAAATCATCTTGAAACATCACCACGAAGGAAGTTAAGTAAATGTTCACCGTAGATCATCTTGAAACAGCAGCAAAAAAGAAGTTAAGTAAATGTTTACTGTAGATCATCTTGAAACGTTAAGTAAATGTTCACTGTAAATCATCTTGAAACTCACCACGAAGGAAGTTAAGTAAATGTTCACTGTAAAACATCTTGAAACAGCAGCAAAAAGGAAGTTAAGTAAATGTTCACTGTAAATCATCTTGAAACATCACCACGAAGGAAGTTAAGTAAATGTTCAAAAACCACACTGTGAAACTCGAAACTATTTAATTGGTAATAAAATATAATATACCGACAGTGAAAGGTCACAGGCAATTGCCTGACAAAAGAGTGACGAAAGTGCTATATGCCTATATTAACTGGCCATGCGGATTGTGGAATATTTGGATGTATGCACTACTATAGTACTAAATTTGCTGGAAACGTATAATTATAACATTGCGGAACGTAAAATGTTACGATTGCCCGTAGTTACCAAAACATGGAACGACCCACAACGAGTCACAACGACCCACAACGATCCCACAACGATCCCAAAATTACCTTCAGTTGCAATTTTGCATGACAATAAACAATATAAATTATTGTTTGTGGATACACCACATATTTTATTATTACATGTGATCAAAATTGGCGGGAAATGCAAGACTTCCCACTTGCGCATGCAGAGATTGTTGTTGGATTGTTGTGAACTTGTGAATTGTTGTGGCTGGTGTTTTGGTCATTGTGGGGTAGTTGTGGGTTGTTGTGGGGTCGTAGTGGGGTCATAGTGGGTCGTTGTGAGGTCATTGTGGTCGTAGTGGGTTGTTGTGGGGTCGTAGTGGGTTGTTGTGGGGTCATTGTGGATCGTTGTGGGGTCGTTGTGGGTCGTTGTGGATCATTGTGGGGTCGTTGTGGATCATTGTGGGGTTGTTGTGGATCGTTGTGGGTCGTTGTGGGGTCGTTGTGGATCGTTGTGGGGTCGTAGTGGGTCATTGTGGGGTCGTAGTGGGTCGTTGTGGATCATTGTGGGGTCGTAGTGGATCGTTGTGGAGTCGTTGTGGCTCGTTCCATGTTTTAGCAACTACGTACGATTGCCACCGATAGTGTCCCCCACATGAAAGTCTATAATAAAAGATCATATTTGTGAGAAAATATGTTTTATATAAAAACCTTGGCTTACAGTAGTAATATTTTTTTTTAAACTATACAAGGGTACATATATAAGGGTACATATACATATGTATATGGAAGTTGACTAGCAATAATTTAGTGTGGTGTACATTTATTTAATCATTGTTAATTAGGCGATAACCAAGTTCTTCCTCAAGTTAAAAAAAATTAGTCTTCCAAAATATCATGATATTTGGTAATAACATGTTTCAACTTAAATAACTGAATTAATATGAAAATCATATTACCATACCTATTTATTTCTATGATCTAAAACCTCTCAGCTGGTAAGCTTGAAGATTTAACTGATTTATTAATTTAACCATAACTATAGTAATTCTGGCTGATTTTTAAAATTATATTATTATATTTCTGATTTGCCATGCTACTACAATTTAGTAGATATAAATTAATTATCTACATGTATAAGTAGGTGGCGAGGAGGCATCCGGAAACCCGGAGGCTTGTAGATTGGATGTCTCCTCACAGGACTTGTTAAGATAAGTGATTATTAGATTAGGAAATAATGTATTACATTTTTAGTGATGGTGAAGAGATATCATTGTTATAATTGTTATTGTTTTAAAATTAGATTAAATAGAATTAACTTTTTTCTTTTTCTGTAGCTCCACTGCCTTTTCTAGCAGCACCTCTCAATCTCAATTTGTCCTTAGTTATTCCTGCTTGCACTGTATACTCATTGGGTGGTATCTTAGCCAAGGTCATCATGCTATGCTGAGTTTTCAATCCACTGTCAAACTGAAGCACAGCAGAAATTCCAGCCATTTCGATTGCATTAGGTCCTTTGTATTTGGGGGCTTTAGTCCAAACAAATACCATTTAGGCTTTCATTTTGATTCTGTGACTAACCAGGCAAACACCGAAGAAGCAAAGTACAATCACTTAGTCGAGTGAAAAGCGGAAGAAGAAAGTCCAGGAAAACTGGATCAAGGTATAGTGGACCTTTGGATCAACTTCTTTCTTTGTTCTTACATATTGGCACCATGAATCTGCATGTTTAGGGCAAAACTTGTCTCTTTTCTTTGTATCAGGTAGCATCACACTATGGTAAAGAACAGCAAAGATGGCATCCTGCATACTTTTGATGGCACTATTGATTTCCTGTTCCGACTTAGCATTCCTACTAACGTTGCGCCTTATAGCTTTACCATAGTACTGTTGCAGTTTATCAATAGTTTTATAAGACAGTCTGTGACCTTTCCCACCCACTGATTTGCCATCTATCAATTTCCCTTTTGTTTTCTTTTTCAACTCCCTGAGAGCAGTTCCAAGTCGTTTCTGAACATGGCCAATACAATACAATTTCTTTACACAATGACAAACAACATTTTCTTCTTCATGATCCTTTTTCCATTTCGTATATCCCTTTGATTCTACCCATTTCCCATACTCTTTACTCTGCCTATCCATTCTTTCATATTTTTCACAAGTCTTACAACATCCATACACATCCCACACACTTGTATAAGCCTTGGAATCATCACAAACAATATATTTGTGTTGCATCTTGAAATCGAGCGACCGTTTCCACAATTCCTGTGTAATTGACACCTCCATGTCGCCACTGCTGCCTTCGTAGTTCTTCCCACAATTTGGCTTGTGCTCGGTATACCATTCCTCATATTCATTGCTCTCTTTGTCTGCTTTTTGTTTATTACATGCAGTACAAACCTTTGATCTGAAACCATAGTCAAGCAGTTCACTGGTTTCCACAGAGATGACAAATCCATAGTTGGCTGTGTGGCCTCTTTTTGACCATGTACCATCAAATGTCACAGGAATGTCCACAATATCATCATCCAAGATCTCTGGATTGTCTTTCTTCAGTTTGCACCGAAGGTTTTCTCAAGTTGCAAACAAATGTTTCTCTATAGTTTGTTTGTGGGCATCATATAGAGCATTCATATGACCATTCTAGTCTTGAGCAGATATTGGTTGTGGCATGTTCAATATGCTACATATTGTAGCCATTCCCTCTCTGCCAATGCTTGTTTCAGATGCTGCATACACCAAACACCAATTTATATCAGTAGCATCATTGGGATCTCAAGTGTTTCCCATTGACTTCGATGTAGGAAGATAAGTCCTTTTTCTTGCATTTTGAGCATTCCAAGCAAAATAGTGCACTCTGACCATAACGATTGGCTTGATCATCATTAAAAATAATCTTGGCATTTTTACACTTGTGGCTATCTTGAAATGCCTGATTAACATTGGACAAATGAACTGATAGCCAGGATCTTCAACATAATAGGACTTTGATGGATCATGATGTTGATTATGAACTTCCTTGTCACTAATTCCATCGCCTAGTTCAGCCAAACCACAGCTATTAACACTTGATTTTCTTCATTGTCAGCATTTAACATAACATAAGAAGCTTTGATCGAACTCGCAAAATTTACAATGCTAAGTGAGAATGAAACAAAAGACATTACAACAAAGGCGAGTAAGATATGGGATCGGCGAAAGGACTCGAAGTCCCAACAAGGCAAACCCCGCACATAAATTATAACTAGAAATTTACACTACTAAGAAAACACAAAACTTCAATAAAAGTTCTTTAATACCACTGAACAGACAGCCCAGTCTCTCGCTCAGGTTGACTGCACATACCAATAGCCACTTGAAACAAATTAATTTAATGGAAATTATTTCGGAAATAATCATAACCCCATGCGCTATAGTACTAACCCTAATTCTGGTTTTAAGATAAGGATGCATGTTGCACAGTCAATCTGAAGAAGAGACCGGGATGGTACAGTGTAGCATTCTCCTCAGTGACATACCTTCGCTGCTTATTAACTAACAGGAAGGGCTGTCAATAGACCTACAAGGACATATTGTCTTCCATGTACTTAATCTGTCCGTATATAAAATAATGTTTATATAAACGAGATTTAGACGCACTAATGGAAGATGATTTGCGTAGTTCAAGTGGTAGATTATTCCAAAGCTTTACAACATGATTGAAGAAGGAGTCTCTAAATAATGAAGTATGGAGACGGTGTACTGGATACAGATTTAACCCATTGAGTTGCATTGCACCCCACTTTAGTATTTTACTCTGTCTAACGCCAGAGTATTTTACTCTGTCTAACGCCAGACGATTTTACTCGTCAAGGGGAGAGCGCTGGCGCTTGATGGGTTAACTGGCCTATCTGCCCATGCGTCTAGTTAACCTATTGAGTCGCATTGCACCCTGATGCACCCCACTTTAGTATTTTACTCTGTCTAATGCCAGACGATTTTACTCTTCAAGGGGAGAGCGCTGGCGCTTAATGGGTTATCTGGCCTATCTGCCCATGCGTCTACTTAACCCATTGAGTCGCATTGCACCCTGATGCACCCCACTTTAGTATTTTACTCTGTCTAATGCCAGAGTATTTTACTCTGTCTAACGCCAGACGATTTTACTCGTCAAGGGGAGAGCGCTGGCGCTTAATGGGTTAACTGGCCTATCTGCCCATGCGTCTAGTTAACCCATTGAGTCGCATTGCACCCTGATGCACCCCACTTTAGTATTTTACTCTGTCTAACGCTAGACGATTTTACTCTGTCTAACGTCAGACGATTTTACTCTGTCTAACGCCAGACGAGTTTACTCGTCAAGGGGAGTGCGCTGGCGCTTAATGGGTTAACTGGCCTATCTGCCCATGCGTCTAGTTAACCCATTGAGTCGCATTGCACCCTGATGCACCCCACTTTAGTATTTTACTCTGTCTAACGCCAGACGATTTTACTCTGTCTAACGCCAGACGATTTTACTCTGTCTAACGCCAGACGATTTTACTCTGTCTAACGCCAGACGATTTTACTCTGTCTAAGGCCAGACGATTTTACTCATCAAGGGGAGAGCGCTGGCACTTAATGGGTTAACTGGCCTATCTGCCCATGCGTCTAGTTAACCCATTGAGTCGCATTACACCCTGATGCACCCCACTTTAGTATTTTACTCTGTCTAACACCAGACGATTTTACTCTGTCTAACGTCAGGCGATTTTACTCTGTCTAACGTCAGACGATTTTACTCTGTCTAACGCCAGACGATTTTACTCGTCAAGGGGAGAGCGCTGGCGCTTAATGGGTTAACTGGCCTATCTGCCCATGCGTCTAGTTAACCCATCGAGTCGCATTGCACCCTGATGCACCCCACTTTAGTATTTTACTCTGTCTAACGCCAGACGATTTTACTTGTCAAGGGGAGAGCACTGGCGCTTAATGGGTTAACTGGCCTATCTGCCCATGTGTCTAGTTAACCCATTGAGTCGCATTACACCCTGATGCACCCCACTTTAGTATTTTACTCTGTCAAACCCAGACGATTTTACTCTGTCTAACGCCAGACGACTTTACTCATCAAGGGGAGAGCGCTGGCGCTTAATGGGTTAAACTATCAATAGAGCTCCTGGTGCGACCACTTGAGACTTGTTTGTAATCTCCAAGCTGTACATTAAATGAACCGCTCATATACTTGTAAACAAAGGAGGTGGTCAGGCTTGACAGTGCGTCCTCCACAGCCTGAAATTATTGGTCTACCTGGATTGTCCTGTATGTGAATTTTTGGTAAAAGATAGAGCTGTGGTGTTCTTGCTTGATTATCAATTGTTAGAAATTTGTGTGTTGTGTTGTCAATTATGTCTGATGTGTGGAGTTTATTGGCAAGTCTTTTAGTTTCTGCTAATGTCTCAAGGGTTGGGTCATATGTGAGTTTTTGATAATGATTTGAGTCATTTAATTGTCTATATGCCTCGGCTAGATAGGCATCTCTGGGCCAGATAACAATGGCTCCTCCCTTATCTGCTGGTTCAACAATCAAATCATTATCAGTTTTAAGGTTATGGACAGCTTGTAGTTCATCTTTAGATATGTTTGGTTTTGCATGTTCTTTGTGTTTCTCATATTCTGTTTTGAGGTCATGGTAAATGTTATCTGGGATCGGGGCTGTGAAATTAGTTGGCAATTTAAATGGGTGTCTGTTTGTGTTGTGTCTGAAGAAATACCTGTTGTACATGTTTTTTCTGTATTTTAAGGAAGAGTTATAAATTTGCTTGTATGGTGTCGGTTTGGGGGAAGGGATGTAAGACAAGCCTTTGGAAAGTGCTATTAGCATGGGGTTAGGAATATTTTTGTTTGAGAGATTAGTAACTGCCTTATATTGTAGGTTGTTGTGCATTTTTTTGTGTAATTTGTTTTTGCTGAGGTGTCTGTTTTGATTGGTGTTGCGTGGTGTTTTCATGAACTTGAGCATAGTGTTTTTGTTGTATTTATTAGTATTCATGTGTGTGCAGGGCGTGTTATTTTTGGTCATGCAATGCATTATTTTTGAAGTTTGTGTGTTTGGTTTAGCAGAAAATGGTGTATCTGTGATTTTACGTTTTGGGTTATGTTGTGTGCAATGTTTGTGTGCTATGTTGTGGGTTTTGTCTGTTTAGTAAGATGTGTTGCCAGTGAGTGTTAGTAAGTGTTGGTGTCCTGTTATGTTGTTGCACATTGTTGGTCTTATGGGTCATTGGTTGTTGTGTATTGTAGGTTGTTTGTGAGCGTGGTGGTATTCGTAGTTTTGGTGTTTGAGGATTGGTTGTATTGATATGTGTGATTTTGGGTTGTGTTGTACGGTAGGTTGTTTCAACTTGCATGAGTGGTGTTGTGGGAGTATTTGTTGGTTGAAATGAACTAAATGACAGAGTTCTGTTGTTGTTGTGTCTGTTATAGTTGTATGAGTGTTGTGATGTTGATGTGTGTTGTGTTTGCAATGTTTTTGGTGTTGTTGTAGTGTTAGTTTTCATAGGGCTGTTAGTAGGGTTATGTGTCCATGCATGTATATGGTTTTGTATGTGGCTGTTGAAGGGAGTTTGTGGTGTGTGTGTGATGTGTTTGCATGAGTTGTGTGTATTATTTGTATTGTGTTAGGTGTATTTGTTGGATGGTTTGTGTGTGTATAGTTGAGTCCTGTTTTCTGTGGTTGTTTTAGATTGTTTATTTGTGGTTTACTTGATTGTGTTGGTTTATTGATTTGTGCTTTCATGTTCTTGCTTTTAGCTTTAGTTTAGTTTAATAACTTTGTTGCTTTAGAAGAAAAACCATACACACTTGCATCATCCAAGCACTACTATATATACTGCTAAATACAAGAATGTAGTAATTAGTTAAAAAAACAACTGGTGGCCAAACAGGGCATTGCCCCAATTGAACATGACTACCAATTTAAAAACCTATTAAAGAGTTTATATATACCTAACATTTGCTACTATATATTTATATATACATATTAACAACTAGTGGAACACTCTGCAAACTACTTATGTGGCAGTTCATAAACATTAAGTTCTATATAAAATTTCTTAAGAAGTCTAGACTTAAAAGTACTAGAGCTGTCAATTGCTTTGAGATCACTATCTAACGAGTTCCACATTGTCACAGCTCGAGGAAAATAGGAGTTTTTAAAAAAATCAGTTCTACATTTAAATTCAGTGAAATTATTCACGTCATGTGACCTAATGTTAATCTAGGAGCAAGTCGACTTTGTACATAATCTGGTAAATGTATATCCAATAGACCTGTTCTACATTTATGAAAGAATAACAAGTCTTTCATACTTCTCCTGACATCAAGTGGTAGAAGGTTAAGTTTTATCAACCGTTCTTTATATCCAGTGTCAGGGTAATTTAAAATAAACTTTGTAGCTCGTCGTTGCACCGCTTCCAACATAAGCTGGTATTTTACTTCTGACGGGGACCACAACTCTGATGAAAATTCCAGCTGCGGCCGGACCAATGTAAGGTAGAGGAGCTTCCTGACAGTTTGATCTTCAAAATCTCTGCAGGTTCTTTTGATCAACCCGAGTGTTCGATTTGCTTTTGCCGTAATCTCTGCAATATGCTTCCCCCAACGAACATCGTCACTCACAGTTATTCCAAGATCTTTGGTGGTTTTTACCAATTCGAGAGATTCGTGTCCCAATATATAATCACTCACGTGCGACTGGATTTTTTTTCGCGACAACCTCATGACTTTACATTTATTTGTATTAAATTTCATACGCCACGTTTCTGTCCAAGAGTTCATTTCATTTAAATCTAGCTGTAAATTTTCAGTATCCGCATCCGATTTTATTGTTCTATATAATTTTGAGTCGTCAGCATATAATGCCATTTCTGTTGGTTGCTGAATTTGATCCGGAAGGTCATTAATGTACAATATAAAAAGCAGTGGACCGAGAATAGATCCCTGTGGAACTCCAGAAGTCACATCGAGCCATTCAGAATAATGACCGTCAAGCGCAACTCGTTGGATCCTTCCTGATAAGTAACTTTTAAACCAGTTGAAAATAGAACCATAGAAACCGTGTTTGCTTAATTTACGGAGCAATAAATGGTGAGATACCTTGTCAAACGCTTTTTGGAAATCAAGATAAATTACATCAACAGAGTGTTTATTGTCCAGTGCTTAAGAATCTTGTGATACACTTGGATTAACTGTGTTGTGCAATTTCTGCCTCGTAAGAAGCCATTGTAAATGGTGTGCAATTCCGGAAATAGAGTCATAACACCGGTTGTAGATGCATTTTTCCAACACTTTCGAGACTATGCATAGCAGAGAAATCGGCCTATAGTTTTCAACGCAATGCACGTCGCCAACTTTCGGAACCGGAGTGACGTTCGTCTGTTTCCATATGGATGGAACTTCTCCTAATCTTAGAGAAAGGTTAAAAAGGCGTGTTAGCGACGGAGTTATTTCGTTTGCAACCGTCTTAAGAAGCCTTGCAGAGATATCATCAGGTCCACCCGTTTTCGTCTGGTCTAGGTTTAATAAACAATCTAGCACTTCACTCTCGTTTAAAACAATTTGACTTAGCCTGTTGTCTACAATTTCACAATTTTCCTCACTGCGGTATTCATCACTAGATTCTGGGGAAACCCCTGAATTGAACACAGAGTGAAAAAACCTGTTCAGGAGATTAGCTTTATCCTTGCCGTCTGTGGCGAATACATTTCCGTATTTCAGAAATTGAGGAGTGCTATATGCTCTAGTTTTTGCTTTAATAAATGTCCAAAAACGTTTCGGATGTTCAGTTAAATCTGATTTGAGTTCGTTCAAATAATCCTTATATTTTACTTCAATAAGCTTTCCAGCATTTCTTCTAATTTCTTCAAAATTCTCAATGTCCGTATGATCACCCGTTCTCTTCGCTATTTTACGCATTCGATCTTTTTTATGCATCATCTGAATGACCTCTTTATCAATCCAAGGTTTATTATTATTATCCGATATTGCGACCTGCGGTACGTGCTCGTTTGTTATTGTCAACAATAAGTCCATCCAATTAGTCACACTTATATTAACGGATGATTCATCAAATGCAAGGTCCCAGGGGGTACGCGAAATTGATTGTTTTAAACCACTTATGTCGGCTTTCTTCCAGTTATAAACAATCCTTTTGACAGGACGTTTTTTATTGATGATAAAACTTAAATTAAAGTCAATCAGTTTATGGTCAGTTTTGAGAATATCATCGAAAACACAAACATCTTTAACTTTGTGCGGAATGTTTGTTAATAGTAGATCAAGAATGTTTGCACCACGTGTTGGAAATTCAACCATTTGCCATAAAAAGTTATCTCTGACCATTTTGGTGAATTCATTGTGCAAACAGTCATTATGCATAGCCGTTCCAGTTGACCAATTTATATCGGGAAAATTAAAATCTCCCAGTATTACAAGTTGCGAAATGCGTGTTTTAGATGCTTTGCGAAGAAAGTTCTTGAAGCAATTCATATACTCAGATTTGGATGAAGGTGGTCTATAAAAAACTACACACAGAAATTTCTTTTTTGCTTCTGGTCTAATTTCACAAACGAGAATCTCGGCCTTTGTTTCTAAATCTGTCCTTCGTACTGATTGTAATGTGCTACCGACTGCGAGCATAACACCGCCCCCACGGCTTGACACTTCTCTGTCACGGCGATGTATATAGTACTTGTTCGAGGGAAGTAATTCATTATTGCTTATTGAGTCGTTCAACCATGTTTCGGTGATAGCTATAAGGTCATATTGTTTAGAGCTAGCAATCACTTCAAGTTCTCTAGTTTTATTGACCACGCTTCTTGAGTTAAAATAAAGGCATTTCAGCTCATGGCGAGAAGATTGTGTTGCCTGCCTCGTTGAGTCAGTTGTCGGGCCAGGATTAGGAGAAACGTCCCCGCTTACAGATATACGTTCGAATTGAAATGTAGCGTTTGAATTAGAATAGTAGCCGATTCGCGAAGAAAAAAATCTTGCTCGCCTACCTCGTTTATTTTGTATATTATAATCTTGGTTCAGACATACTAAGTCGAGTTAACAAGGGAAGGACCTCGGAGTCACTGTTTCATCCAAACTCACTTGGCATCAACACATACATAAGGATTGGTGCCCATCATTCAAAGTATTTTGCAATTTTAGCCAAACGTGTGTCGCCTCATTTCAAGAATGTAAAGAAAAATTTCGTCCTCTTGAACAACATATTCATCAGCTCAATGTTAAATCTTATCACGGTGAGTGTGTGAAGATGCCACTATTTACAAGCAAATTTTTATTGCAAACTTTTGTTCACTTTTCAAACGTATGGACACATTTCCTGTTGTAATTCTGTACACGTTGGTAGGACCAGCCGATAATCTTTATAAGTGCCAAAAAGGATGTATTAGATCAAATAAAAATATTTAACTACCAAAACTATGTGGGTATAAATCTTTCGCTTTCAGTGTAAAATCATGTGTAGGTTCGAAATGTAAACAATTTAACAAACGACAAATGGCAGTAATGAGTGTGCGTCGGCCGTGTAAATATTTTTCATTCTCATTTCCTTTGGATTTAAAATAAGAAACAAATTAATTTAACGGTTGCTGAAGATTTATTCACTCGATCGTGCTGCACCTACACCTTCATTCAATGTGTTCATTCTCGACTATTTTTCATCCTTTAACTTACTATAGCCTGTATGTTTTTTTGGCGTTACCTATTGCTTTCTTTTCCATAATCGGCGGATGTGTTCGTGTCCTTGTCATTTTAATTTGAATAAACATTACCTAGATGTCGAGTTTCCGGTTGCGCGAGCAAACATATTTTCCAATTTATTTGTCCTTTTTTTAAGTCAGAAATATTACGCCAACAGTACTTGCTTTGTCCATCACAGTCATCATGTTTATCATACTTCTGATATTGGGCGCAGTCATTCTGTGGGTAAGACGAAAACGACAAGGCATCTACAATGAAAAGAAGATACATCATTCAAAACATAATTTGATTTGATATAGCACCATATCGATTAGAAAGCATTCTCGTGAAAAGAAATCAATGTACCTAAGTAAATAAGCTCTCGCTTGGAATTACAAATCCTCTATTGACAGTAGTTAGGTACATAATGAATTCTGCTTGTATAGTAATTTGCATATAATCCGTCATTTATCGATAAAGCATTGATCTTCAAATGTTTTGGAGGCATATTTATTCACAACGGATTCATCACAGCCAGCATTCAGGAAAATGAAATTTTATTCAGCTTCGTGTATCTAACCAATAAGGTCCGTCATTCCAACGTATCGTACCTAAAAGTAACACATGCCAAAGGGCATGGTCGCCTGAAATATATTTCTATTTTTACGGTCTACCAAAGGCTATATGCATGTCATGCATTGTAGAGAGGGTATGGGTATATATCGAGATTTTTGGGGCATCTCGCTCTATTCCTGCCAGAGGATATATATTTCAGTTTTGGCAGCTGGTCCTGATTGGGTCTAAGAAATTTATTGAATTACAAAAATTACAGCTGAGTTTACTTTCATTTCCGACAGGTTTTTTTTATGCTAATCTCTGATCAGTAATTTCACGATCTCGGAGCTCTCCTCTTCAATCAGATCTCCCTTTGTGGACTAATTGAGTAGTAGTGCAGCTTCTCTTCATCGTTTTTGTTGCAAGCGTAATTAGCCTTGTCAAAGTAACTTTCGCAATCAAACACCGATCCCGTAGTACACTGAGAACAGTCCTTCCTCTCCACGGGCTTAGTTTCCTGGGCATGTGAGGGGAAAGGAGTGACAGTCGACAACACCTAAACAAACGAAATATGCTCACTTTTCGCTTCTGTCAATTTGGCTCCGCCAATATAGGAACCGTTAATTTGATGTTTATTTATAAAATCAACATTCAGTCTGGAAATTATTTGTATCATAATCACTATACATGTCAGATTTGATTGACGGGCACATCGATTTCGACCAATGGGAATTTGGTGTTGTCTGGGCAACGCGTATTTCGTTTCTTGATGTGTTGTCGCCAGACCCTCCTTTCTCCTGAAGGACTGCTCGCGGTCCAATCACATAGAAGTGGTGGAGTTGCCTTTAAGTCTCTGCATACAACATATTGTTATGAGAATCTGATATTTTCTGACCTTTTCTAGATTTTTAGCGAATGGCAAGACATTTACGTTTTATATGTTTTCTCTGAGAACGTGGAAATCTGAAATGATGTGAAGTCTTATGTTACTACCCTTGCTCGAATAGGATCTCGAAGTTGCTTGCAACTTCTTACATACTTCATACCTGGTGCGTATAGCTTTTACTCGGACAATATATACAGTAGTTACACTTCTCTATATGGCAAATTTTAAATCATACGATAGTGTCCCGGTTGCCATCATCTAATCTTATGTCTTAATACAATGCTACGAAATATTCCGATTTTATGGACGAGCCCAAGTTGGCACTTGGAGCATACTCCATTGCTCTAAATTGGATTAGCATGCAACCATGCCAATTCGTACATTGTCTGGCTCACTACCCTTTTTTGTCTTTCAGTATATTTGTCTGTCAGAATACCATGCACCGACTACAGTTAGCGATCATATTTCTCCACAGACGAGATGCTATCCCATTTCATTGAGGAACTAACAGTCTATATTACAAGGATTTTGTTCTCTTCGTTCGTGATAGCTGACAAAATCATCATTTTCACTTTTTTCCGCTTCCACTCTTGAATGCGGTTTATTTGGTTTGGTCTGCTTATATTTGCATGATTCCATATTTTTACGCAACAATTTCCGTTTTAAAGAGATATGGCAATATGTATTAAATTTTTCATGTTTCAAAGAACGTTTAAAATTATATATAAACTTCCCTTACAAATATTTTACATCTTGCTTGGTTTTCGAAATAAATCGACTTATTTTGATCAAAAGCAGCTTCATGAAATATTTTATTGTTAAAACGTTAAATTAAACACTGCAGTTACTTAAAGCGAAATTTTAATAAATTCCAGGCATGGTCGCACCTTCACGTGATGACGCACGTGATTTGTTTTCGTTATTCGTTGGTCGATTGCATATTGTTTCCATCTCGCGCTGTTGCGAGGGAGACAGTGTATAGCTAATTTCGTCACTTTCACGTTATATGCTCTCGACCAATAAAACACTAGAAAAACACGACTTTTACCATTGGTATATAATAAAACCAATTAAATTATATGTAGCTAGCTTTATAAAATATTGGGGTTTTTTGACAAAAAGGAAAGGTAAACAAGCTGGAATACAACGTTAATTTAAATACATTAATTATAATTATTTCTGATCTTTCCTGTTCTCCTTTCTGAAGAGAAGTTTCTCCAGGTTTGCGCAAGGATATTCAACGGTTATGACAAGGATGAAGGCAAAACCATGAGACAACAACAAAGCTGCACAATAAATATACGCCTACAACAAAAAAGACAGAATATCTTAATTAATTTCAGCACGGATTTTTGAAATAACTAAGTTATTTTTCTTGGCCAGTTTTTGCCTGTAGAGGAAGCTGTTACACCAAACATGCCTGGCAAAAGCCAGAGGTGTTGCAAGTTTTTAAATTTTCATCCTGATTGTACGAAATTTTCCATAAACATAGAACATATCATTCTTACAAATCGTGTCGTTTTAGTTTTTGGATTTTTTATTTTTTGGCGGGAAAATGACGTCACAAACTTGGCGCCAAAAATTTAAAAATTAGCAATGACTAATATTATTTATTTATTTGGAAGACCATGCCGTAGCAATCTTGAAACTGAAGTCTATTTCGAAATACGACCATTCGCTGCAAAGATAGACTGGTTCAAAGTTCGATAAATCGGCCATTTTGTTACTAAAAATAGAACAAAATGGCGGATTTTTCGAAATTTGAATCACTCTATCTTTGCAGTGACTGGTCGTACTTCGAAACAGACTTCAGTTTCAAGATTGCTACATCATGGTCTTCCAAATAAATAAATTATATTTGTAATTGCTAATTTTTACATTTTTGGCGCCAAGTTTGTGACGTCATTTTCCCGCCAAAAAATAAAAAATCCAAAAACAAAAAAGACACGATTTGTAAGAATGATATGTTCTATGATTGTGGAAAATTTCGCACAATGAGGATGAAAATTTAAAAAGTAACAATACGCCTGGCGATTTTGGACTACTTTTTGCCAGGCGTGAAATAATCGTTTGATTTATACGCATCTGCTAATTACCGTTATTTTGCCACAAACATTTTCAAAAGTTGTCGGACACTTGTGGTTTCAGATCATCAGTGAATAGATGAATGCAAATTATTCCAAAATTAATATTTCCCTTCCCATTCAATGTTGATTACCCGATAACACACCCAAGCAAAATTCTGAGACCCAAATTGAAAAGGGGCGTGGGACGGAGAGTCCGATGTTTGTCCCAATGATAGGTAATTGGACCACATGTCATTTCAAAATTATGGTAGTCACTAGTCATAGTACAGATAACTGGGCGTTTAAATAAATTCATTACTCGCAATTTTGCCCATCTTAGGCAACATGAAAATCATTGCGAATTCCCGGCCTGCAAATTGGGTAAAATAATTACAGTAGTGGATTTGCAGGTGTACACAGTTCTGTGCACCCGTGTTAGCCTTGGGCAACACTGATGTTACAGAAATGGAAAAGTAAAAGACAGGATAACTGCTTCAGTTATAAAAGCTTCAATCATTGGAAATCTCAACACGCAAATGGGGTAAACCAATTACAGTGGTGCATTTTTAAGGGTGCACAGGTGTGTGCACCCGTGTTCGCCTTCATCATCAGGGTGCAAAAAATTAGATTGATCTTACTTTTCAATAGTTGAGGTATTCAAAGTCTGTTATCAGGCACCACAGCACTAGTTCAAATTAAGACTGATATACCTCAAACATTTAATAGTTTGATTAATTTTTTGCACCCTGTTGAAGAAGGCCAACAGGAGTGCAAACACCTGTGCACCCCTATGAATGCACCTCTGTAATTGGTTTATCCCATCCGCGTGTTGAGACTTCCATTGATTGAGCTTTTATAAATGAAACATTTATCCTTTTCTTCACATTTTCTTTTCGGTAACATATAATCTATAACTGAACAGACAACGGCAAAATCTTGTTTATATGTTAAATAGAAAATAGAAAAGCAATCAAATTTTCAAATGTGAAAAAATTCTCATATTCTCTTTCACACAATCACAGTATATCAAGAGAATCGGTAAATATGCTTTTAATATTTATTAAAATATATTTTATTATCAATATATCTATAAATTGTACCTGCGGAAGTACTATACGTGCGCTTTCATGGCAGTATGGTGTTAGCATATGCAGGTTCAGTGGATTTGTCTGCTCTTGAAATACTCCTCCCCCCCCCCCGCACACCAAAGAAACATTCCTGGATCGACCACTAAAAAATTATGAAATTTGCGTTTACTTACCCACCACTGCGTTGAGAAAAGCAAACCCGATCTGTAGCCAAAGTACATGACGTTTATCAATACGCAATGTACTAAGTATGTAGAATACGTCAGACGACCTAGGGGAATCCAAAATCTTGCTGATAGAAAATCTTGGACATAACCTACAGAGAGAAATATATCACGTCAGTTTGATCTGACACTAAATGTGTAATGTTACACATCGAAGTGACCATATGGGCCTACGGAATGGAAAAGATTAGGGGAGCACAATTTTTCCGCGACATTGATGGAAATTGCTCGAAATATAAAAAAAAATGAGGAAATCTACTCAGACGTTTTCAAAACGTTAAATATTTCTTTCTCGTTTTCCCCCATTTTAATTCCCAATTTTGTAGCCAGACCTTTTAGTGAAATTTCCCGATTTTTAAATGAAGTAGAACATCAAAATTAGGGGGCTGCAACATATCGGACCACACTCACCTCCATAACCGTATTCACAAGCATAAGTCACCCAAGCCAGAACAATACCCCAAGCTAAGTGTCTTGTTGTATTGTACAATATTTTTTCAGACATTGTCCATGGTCGTGCGTCCTCATGGAATGCTGTGAAGGGTCCAAAGGTAACAGACAATGCAATGGCAACGGTAATAAACCAGAAAATAACAGCAAGCGGCTGAAAAATAAAAGTTGGCATTTTTTTAAAAACAAAGGCAATATCATGGTGCATGAGGAAACCTAATGTTGAGCCTGGTTTCCATATGATCGTAAATCGTAATGGTCGTAAAAATGGAGTAACGATCTTTCCCAACGGCCAGTTTATAATAGCTTATACCTGTAAATCGCATATAAATCATAAGCATTCTCTAGCTGTATCACTCCACGTATTTTCAGTTCTAAAATGTTGTATTTCGGCTGATGAAAAAGATCGTGACTCAATCTTTATGACTGTTACAACCATATAGAAACCAGAATTTATTGGTGGATGAGGAACCTAAACTGAACCATCAGTAATTTCTATATACGAGTTAAACATATCTCAAAGAGATCATGCTCACCCAACTCAGTTGTTTGGCTCTAAACGCTCTCCTGTGCATAAGATATCCAATGACAAGTCCGACCAAATAAGAATGAATGCGACAGTACGGTTTGACATAGAGATAATTAAATTCCTCCATTTTAGAAGAACTGTAAGAGATTCAGTATATACATTTGTATTACACTCGTGATTTAATTTGGAGCCATTAGGCCAATGAAAATTGATATCATGTTTCTCGTCCCCTCCCGCATGGGATTTATCTGCCGCACGAAAATTTTTCATTATTCATTATATTTGGAAAACAGACTTCACAAAACACCAAATTGATCTCCAGATCAAAGTCTTATTGCTACATTCCGCAAGCGCAACTCAAATTGTACATTTCTAAAGATATTACTCGCCAGAATGCCTCTATTTTTCATGTCAGCTGATGGTGATCTTCACACTTGATATTTTCATTTTCTTACGGTTTGATTCCGATTTCCTGTGTTGCGAAATAATCTGTCTCGTGGTTATACTGCTTTTTTGAAAAGATAAATCATGCATATTCATGTTTTCTAATGATCATTTATGTGTAGAAATATACTGTAGTGTAGGACGTATAAATTAAAATGAATTATACACCGATTTACTTCAGAATTCAAATACAAGATATAATGAAAAATGAAAAAAATCACGCTCCAAATTTTGCAAAATTGTGGACGAGAAACATGATATCAACTTTCATTGGCCTTAGCTGCCATATGAAGGAAGGTGCTAGCTTCTGTTCGTCAAAGGGGGCCACAGCATAAAATGTGGTACCCATCGTTATAAAATATCCAAAACATGTATCGACGTGGGGAAGGGAGGGGGGATTTGGTTACATATATATTTTGAAACATAAGGTGCTGCTCTTTCCTTTACTCGTCCCCTCTCCCCCCGTCCCCCCCCCCCGCTCCACCCGTCAGCAGGGCACTTGTGTGTCGTTTTAGAGGGGATTCTTTTACTATGAATTTGGATGAAATTTCAATAAATTAAACATTTTCAGAATCTTATTTTCTGCCAATTTCAACGTCAGCAAAAGCGAAACCGACAAAGGAAAAGCTGTTTCGCGCGAACAACGTTGCCTAATGGAAAACGGGCCTTAGGATAACTTTCTTCCCTCCCTGACTTTTTTTCACCGCTTTTGTAATATCCTATGTTATCACGTGGGGGGACACGTGAGAGGTGGACGGATATAAAGGAGAGAACATGGAGACTCGAGAACAAAACTAGCTTGTATATTTGATGTTCAAAGAGAATATTATATTGGCGACGAGGATCTATTAACACAAACAACAAAACAACCCAGAGCAAGATCTTACTCAAGTCAGAAAGATCAGTACACTCTTGTGTTCATATTCAGAAACACCAAGCCGTTCGATAGCGAAAAACGTACGCTAGGCGTCTACACGTGGCGGGAAAGCAAACAAACAAAACGCTTTAAAACTCTCGATTTAACGGCTAAAAACAGCCTAAAACACAACAAAACATGGCAACAGCTCTGCCAACATTCCCTTCCTTCGATCCCAACGCGGACCAGGGAGCACCCGGCGTCAGATTTAAGAAATACATCGCTCGTTTTCGAAATTTGATAGTCGCTACAGACATCGATGATCCCAAACGTCAAAAGGCGCTCCTGTTACACTACATCGGTGAAGAAGTTAATGATATCTTTGAAACACTCACAGTCAGTGAACCGGCTGAAGAAGAAACAGTTCTAGACGTCACAATTAAAGCACTATCTGAATACTTTACACCAAAGCAAAACCCTGTATTCGAAGAATATAAATTTCGCAACGCCAAACAAACCAACGACGAAGCTCTTATGACGTACTATACACGACTCAAACAACTTTCCCTCACCTGTGAATTTCACGATGCCGATCGCGAAATCAAATCTCAGATCATCCAACACGGCCGCTCGCAACGACTTCGACGAAAAGCTTTAATCGATCCAACTATAACCCTGGCAAAACTTCTAGAAATGGGTAAAGCGGCGGAGCTAGCCGACTCGCAAGCAGCGAACTTAGAACGAACAGAGAACGTCAGCCATTTCACAACTGGAAGAAGCAAAAACCACAACAAAGCACGCTTCCAATCCCGGAGCCCCGGTACCAGGGTGAAATGTCGTAATTGTGGAGGCACATACCCGCATGAAGGCGGAAAAACTGCTTGCCCAGCATACGGAAAGGAATGTCGCTCCTGTGGAAAACTTAACCACTTACAGTCCGTATGTCTCCAAGACAGACAATGTTCAAACCCCACCAACCCACGTCAGCGACGCTACCCGCAAACAGCCGAACGACAGGACGTCCGAGCGATGGACAACACCGCAGAAACTGACTACAGCGATGACAGCGACGAAGTTGGCGTGTTCCGAATCAACGTCTACAACATGACTTCGGATCGCAACAAACACCCATTATTTGACGTCACCATTGAGGGAACACTGCTGACCATAATGGCAGACTCTGGTTCCAGTATCAATATTCTGGATGAGCAGGATTACAACAAGCTCTCCCCACGACCGAGTTTGGAGCAAACACGCGTCAAAGTTCATCCTTACCAGACCGAGACACCCCTACCCGTCCTTGGGCAATTTACCTCCACCGTCGCATCGGAAACAGTCAACCGTACAGAGACATTCTATGTTGTGAAAGAAACCAGTGGGTCATTGCTTAGCTGGCGCACTTCTACCGACCTGCAGCTACTCAAAGTCGTAAAGCCCATTACACATCAAAACCTTCCCACCGTTGAACAGCTCACCACCCAATACCAGGACTTGTTCCAAGAACTCGGCAAGTTGAAAGATTACCAGGTTCAGCTTCATATTGACGAAGGTGTACCACCAGTTGCCCAACCACACCGACGCGTGCCGTTCCATGTGCGCAAACAACTTTAGGAACAGCTAAGTCAGGACGAAAAACTGGGTGTAATCGAACGCGTGGAGGGCCCAACCCCCTGGTTATCGCCCATTGTTGTGGCACCAAAGCCCAAGTCACCCGGAAAGGTCCGTGTATGCGTTGACATGCGTCGTGCAAACACAGCAGTCTAGCGTGAACGCCACATCACCCCAACGATCAAGGAAATCATCGGCGATTTGAATGGTGCAACTGTCTTTAGCAAACTCGACCTCAACCAGGGTTACAACCAACTAGAACTAGCCCCGGAATCCAGGTACGTTACCACCTTCAGCACCCACCTTGGGCTCATGCGCTACAAGCGACTCAACTTTGGAATATCTAGTGCCGCCGAAATCTTTCAGAACGCCATCCGCGAGATTCTTGGCGGCATCCCGGGCGCAATTAACATCAGCGATGACATACTCGTTTTTGGCAAGACCCAGAAGGAGCATGATCAAGCACTCGCAGTAGTGTTTCAGCGGCTTCGAGAACGCGGGCTGACCTTGAACAAACTCAAGTGCGAGTACAGCAAAAACAGCCTTGAGTTCTTCGGGTACATTTTTGGTGCAGATGGCATGGCCCCCGATCCAAAGAAAGTCCAAGATATCCTAAACCTCAAAGCCCCAACGTCAGTCACAGAAGTCCGTAGCCTGCTAGGCATGACCAACTACTGTGCACGATTCGTCGAGGGATATGCTACAATTACTGAACCTCTGCGAGCCCTTACCCACAAGAACCATACCTGGGAGTGGATGGACAAGCAGGAACATGCCCTGGCCCAGCTCCGGCATGTGTTGGCCAATGCACCTGTCACAGCGTACTTCAACCCTGAGAAAACAACTGAAATCTCTGTTGATGCAAGCCCGGTTCGGCTGGGCGATATCTAGCTTAGCGCAAATCGATCCCACAAACAAAGTCAAGCGTATCATTGCATATGCCAGCCGGTCCCTGACCACCACCGAGCAACGCTACAGCCAGACTGAGCGCGAAGCCCTCGCTGTAGTATGGGCATGTGAACACTTTCACCTCTACATTTACGGCAAGGAGGTCAATGTCTACACAGACCACAAGCCCCT